TTGCTTGTATAATCTTGATAGATGGAAACATCGTCATATAATGTAGATTCAAGTTTTTTTATGCCACACCATGATTAGGAATACATGTATAGTTTTTGTCATGTCCGTCCTCCACCCTTCCATCTGTCTTTCCATTGGGCTCAAAGAAACTTTCTAGATATTTTTATCAAAGTTCATATGTTGATGCATACTGATGTAAATATCCAACTGCAGCAATATTTTTTGACTTTGACTTTTCCTTTGACCTTCACGTAACTTTTCTTTAAAGAGGCTGGGTGGTTGCGGCCATTTTTAGACTATTTTGATCTCCTTTAGAAGAAGAGCTCCATATAAAGGTATAATAAAAATGATAAAATGATCAAATTTTAAAACTAAAATTTATGAAATTTTTTTTTTTGCCAAATGATAGTTGACGGCTTAAGATATCATATCCCCAAATTTAAGTTATAACCGGTGGTTAATAAAAAAATAATTTGTTGACCCCCTAGCCTCCTTAAATTACTGTTTAGCTTTATTTTAAAGAAACCATTCAATTTGTGTAATGAAACTTTACATGATGATACATACTTATGTAAGCTTTACAATACTTCACTCTTTTTTACCTTGACCTTTCCTGTGACCTTGACCTCACTTTTCTAAAATTAATGTCTAAATCAGTTTTGAGTAAACAATTCAAAATATATTTATCAAACTTCATATGCTGATACATACTGCTGAGAGCTATTAATACATCAACTTATTTTGACCTTGAATTGGCCCTTACCTTTCCTTTGACCTCTCTTTTCTTAGAAAAAGTGTTAAGGTCAGTTTCATTAAATCATTCAAGATATTTTTATCAAACATAATATGCTGATAACTTCGTCAAAAACTTCACCTTGCACATTCCTCTGACCTTGACCTCCATCCTTTTTAATTTGTATTTTGCTTAGTTTTAAAGAAATAATTTAAGACATTTTTATGTTTAGCATGCACTTATACATGTACATAATTTGGTGAGGATTTATAATCTATATCAAATTTATTTAGATTTTAGTTTCAATTCTAAAGAAACTGTTCAAGATATTTTCAACAAACTTAATACGCTAATACAAATTTTCCTGTAGCATGAGTAATATACATCCAGTGGGACATTCATGTCCTATAGACATATTTCTAGTTTTTAAAATCATAACCTCAAAGGCTAGGTCAGGCCACAATTAGACATTAAACATTCCAAACCTTACTGCACATCTACATGACACCACCAACCATCTCCTCAAAGATGATTAGACTACTGTGTAAAATGTAAGAGGAGTTCAGGGAAGACGGGGCTTTTTGCATAAAAAACGTCATTTTTCGACCCCCATTTGACCCCCCGGCGCAAAATCAAAATTCCGAAACCTTACTGCACATCTACATGACACCACCAACCATCTCTCCAAAGATGATTAGGCTACTGTGTAAAATGTAAGAGGAGTTCAGGGAAGACGGGCCTTTTCGCATAAAAAACGTCATTTTTCGACCCCCATTTGACCCCCCGGGGCAAAATCAAAATTCCGAAACCTTACTGCACATCAACATGACACCACCAACCATCTCTCCAAAGATGATTAGGCTACTGTGTAAAATGTAAGAGGAGTTCAGGGAAGACGGGCCTTTTTGCATAAAAAACGTCATTTTTCGACCCCCATTTGACCCCCTGGGGCAAAATCAAAATTCCGAAACCTTACTGCACATCTACATGACACCACAAACCATCTCCCCAAAGATGATTAGGCTACTGTGTAAAATGTAAGGGGAGTTCAGGGAAGACGGGGCTTTTTGCATAAAAAACGTCATTTTTCGACCCCCATTTGACCCCCCTGGGGCAAAATCAAAATTCCGAAACCTTACTGCACATCTACATGACACCACCAACCATCTCCACAAAGATGATTAGGCTGCTGTATAAAAAATAAGAGGAGTTCAAGGAAGACGGGGCTTTTTGCATAAAAAACGTCATTTTTCGATCCCCATTTGACCCCCTGGGGCAAAATCAAAATTCCGAAACCTTACTGCACATTTACATGACACCACAAACCATCTCCCCAAAGATGATTAGGCTACTCTGTAAAATGTAAGGGGAGTTCAGGGAAGACAGAGCTTTTTGCATAAAAAACATAATTTTTCGACCCCCATTTGACCCCCCGGGGCAAAAACAAAATTCCGAAACCTTACTGCACATCTACATGACACCACCAACCATCTCTCCAAAGATGATTAGGCTACTGTGTAAAATGTAAGAGGAGTTCAGGGAAGACGGGGCTTTTTGCATAAAAAACGTCATTTTTCGACCCCCATTTGACCCCCTGGGGCAAAATCAAAATTCCGAAACCTTACTGCACATCTACATGACACCACCAACCATCTCCCCAAAGATGATTAGGCTACTCTGTAAAATGTAAGAGGAGTTCAGGGAAGACGGGGCTTTTTGCATAAAAAACGTCATTTTTCGACCCCCATTTGACCCCCCGGGGCAAAATCAAAATTCCGAAACCTTACTGCACATCTACATGACACCACAAACCTTCTCCCCAAAGATGATTAGGCTACTGTGTAAAATGTAAGAGGAGTTCAGGGAAGAAAAGTGTGACAGACGGACGGACGGACGGACGGACATGAGTAACAACAATATACCCGAACTTTCTTTAGAAAGTGCGGGTATAACAATCGATAAATCCTTCCATCTTCATATTTAATCTTACTTCCTCTCTATCTTATAAGCTATAGAATGCCTATTCAACTCTGCAAAGAATACCAAGTATCAAGGAAGCAATTTTGTTGTGCAAAATAAATTTTAATAAAAGAATGATAAAAGATCATTTCTCAAATTTTCGTTTTATTACCATGTTTGGTAACAGAATATAAAGATAACTATAGCTCTTTATTCATGGATATGTATTCATGAATTAAAGATGAATGATATTGAATAAATATTGCATGCAGTTGAGTGCAAAATTTGAGGATTTTCACCCCAAATCCATTTTAAACCTAAGCGCAGCCGAGGTTGACAATGGTTTTCGAGTGGCAAAAATTTTCAATGTTAAACACAAATACATGGAATATCTATCATATTATACTGAATGCTTTATACATATTACAGTGAACTGTACGAATACAGTTTTCACAGTCAAAATTCTTTTGGAATGTCACCTGTCGTCAAGCAATGTTGACTTGTGCTCCCCTGAAGGGCGATGCTTTGTTATACAGCGGGTAATAGTGGTTTTTAGGAAATGTTTCTCGATAATTCAAAGTAACCAATTTCCATGAAAGTAAAATATTTACAAAAACACATAAGTAAAGTAGTTTTTAATTTACAACATCGTTTAATTTATTCTTATGTTTCATTTACTTTCCGCCTCTATCAACATCGATGCTACTTTATTTTGAATACCTACCCGACTTTTCAACCTCAGTTGAGTTCAAGAAAAGGTGTCTATTTGGGATAGGTTGTCTATGTGTCTATTAAAGGATATATACCGTCTATATGTCTTATAAAGAATATGTTGTTTACGTGTCTATTATAGGATATGTTGTCTATGTGTCTATTATAGTATTTTTGTCTATGCGTCTTCTATAGAATATTTTTTCTACTATACTGAAAATACTGTAGAAACACAATATTTGGTGGACATTAAATTTTGTTGATTTGTCATTTAATAAGGTTTCCTGGACATAAAATTCGGTTGTTTCGAAATTACATGTAAAACAATGCAAAATAGAGTCCCATGAAAACAATTCGTTTGGGATTCATTTTCGTTGATAATTGCTTACAAAGAAAAAACTAACTTTGATCACCCACGAATATTTCTGCCTCTACTTAAGTAAAATAACCATTTTACCTGTCGTTTCCTTTACTGGTGCTGTTGCTGTAGTGTCGTCACAATTCATGTCCTCTGAGGAGAGATCCTGCAACAATACTCCCTTCAATTTACTGGGAGTTGAACATTTCGGTTCAGATAAAAATCCTAACGTCAAGTTTCTTGATTGGGAAAACCTGACAAAATCGGCTAAGATGCAACCACAGTGCAGAGGATTATTATTTAAATCTCTACAAAAGTTTAAAAATTTAATATGCTCACATAAATATTGAATTAAAATAATATCTCAATCATTTGAAAAGTCTAGCATTTGAAACCAACAAAAAGCAATTAAATTAATATGTGAATACAAAAAAGAATATAAACTTTGCTAAGCTTTTCGAAATCAGTAAGACTGGAATGATTGACAAATTATATATATTGTATCCTTACAGAATCTCCAATTTTGAAAGTCCCAGGAAAATATCTTTGTCCAATATGGTAATGGTATTATTATCAATGTACCTACAAAAATATTAAAATAGTTTTTATTAATCGACGATAAATCTTTTATAGTCGTGTATTCAATTTGGCATGTTATGTTAAGTAAATGATAATGTTTGAATGAATATTTTACCCTTCATATTCGTGGTATTATGAATTGATTTATTCAAAATGAAATAATACAAATACAAAGATGCCGAAAACATAAGCTGAAATTTTACACTCTTTTTGCATAGTTGGAAAATAAATTGCTGATAAACGTACGTTTAAAAGAAAATGATGAATCATTGCATTTTTATTAAAGAATTTAAAATCCTAAATGAAGTTCAATGTTTATTTTTGCTCCCTATTTAACATAATACCATTGTTAAAGTCACAAGGTTAGGTGTGAATTAAGCTTACAAGAAATGAATTTGAAATTGAGTCAAGGGAATACCTGCCCCCTCTTTGGTTTTTTACTTATCTTAAGCCGTTGGAGTTTACATAAATGTCTTCTTTTGCCCACATAAACTAATACTGAGTTTCAGTATCCCGGTCTTGTTAGTGTAGTAAATGCAATACATTTGAGAACATTTCTTGTGCTCATTAACTGATGAAAAACACATATTTAATTCATTCATATATTTATTTCTGGGATCTGACATATTAAAGCTTTGTAATGTTACAGGTTACTTACAGTTCCTGCAAATTTGTTAAACCATGAAAGGCATTGCTCTGAATTATGCTTATCTTGTTGGAATCTAACAATCTGAAATAAATTTTAAAATCCCTATACATACTTTTACTTAAAACAATAATCAGTCTTTTTACTCGAATGTGGCTAATCACCTTTTAATATTACATTATTTTGTCAAAATTACAACATGAACAACAACAGGAACAACAGCCGACAAACAGCTGACTTTGTATCCAGGCGATGAAAACGTGATCATGATCATCTATTGACAATTTAGACACGAATGCCTTATGCCTTCGATATTTATTTAGTTCTCCTCAAAATGAACGTTTTCCATTCATAATTTTAGCAAAAAAAGCAAATTTTAAATATTGATGTTTTATATAATGAAAAGAAATAAACATATTATATAACATCAATTTACACTTTGTTTTCAGGACAAGTTAGACTACAAATATTTTCATAGGTACAGTCTTTGTATAATTTTAAGTTGCAATATTTTAATTTAAGTTGTAACACGTCATTTGATTGGATAAAAGATTCAATTAATATTGTATAACAAAACTTGCCTACGTCACGATAAGTTAAGTCAATGGCGTATTACTCCTCTTGACGTTAAATTTTAAGATATGCTTAATTTGAAGCCATATTTGGAGGAAAAACTGTCTCATTGTCTTCACGGAAATCAAAGTAAAATATTTCGGAACAAAACTCAGCAGCACGCAATTAATCAAAAAAGCAGAAAAGATTTCACCTTTTTGTGGAGAATAGCACATTAATGAAATCTGCTCTAGAAATCATAGAATTCCTAATTCAACAACAATAAAGGCAGAAAAACAGCCTCAAATCAAATTTTCTTATAGCCATCCAAATTAAACAAGCTTTTCAAAAGTTTTTTGAGGTTTGTTATTGAATTAATCAGTATTCCTGTTATTAATGAAAATTTGTTTTTGGGGAACGGGGATGGCTGGGAGGGGGGATAAGGGTATTTATGTGACTTATTAATGTTATGTAACTATATGTTATACTGTTTGATATTTGCTGATTCCCCCCTTTGTTTGTGAATCCAATATTTCGCCAATTCTTATTTGTAATAAATGACATATTTCATTCTCAGGCAATTGTTCTGTTGTATATGTCAGCTTAAGCAAAAACAAGCTTCGGTGAGCTGTTTGGATGGAGAACGGTTTGAGACTCAAAGAATTATATGTACACAATTAGACGTAGTTCAACAACAATAAAACCGTTTGGGAATAATGTAAAAGGCAATCTTCACCTTCGTCTCAAAGAGAAATGCAATATACATTGAAAATAATACGGGCAATGTCCTAGCTATCAAAGAAATATTTTTTAAAAGAATTTTTTAAGTAAAATTGAAATAAAACTTTTTTTACGAAGAAGAGAAATGTCTCCATGGAAGCAAATAGTAGATGCTGGTAGGAAATTATTGACCAGCAGGGACTGTGGTAGACACATTAGAAATAAACTATTGACGGTTTCTGTTACAAGAAGTACTAGACATACTTACAGGAGATTTAAATTGTGTAAGCTGGCGAAGGCATTGTGCGGTATCGTAGTGATTATGTTTCCGTTTAGATATCTACGAAACGAAAAACAGAAATCCAGTTTAGATAGTCCTTCTACAATATATATCCTATAAGAAAATTGATCTTTAAAAAAAATCTATTTTAAAACGATGAATGAAACTCGTAATTTTTCAGAGCTGTACAAGCATCGGATTGAATACTTTCAAACGTAATTTTGATTGTCTATGCCACTTGCTTTGATTTTGAAATGTAAATTTTCAAATAAATGAGTTCTATTTTTTATGTAATTAATAAAATGTTAGAAATATAAATGCAGTATAATTACTATGCAATGCAATTCATTATTCTTGATAATGTTTTTGAGCATGCAATAAAATGTCATTCCTATAAAAATTTCACAACATATACAGTTTACATGTATATACAAAAATATGTGTATACTATGCAAATATAATATATGGCGACTTATCATAAAGTTGTAAACCCATACCTCTCTTTCTGTATTTTGCTTAAGAATTTTGCCATTTATTATATCAATGCCTACTCCATTTAAATTATTTGAAGTGAATGTTGTCATACAATACATGTATATACCGTTACAGCTTGTAAATCAATAAACGTGTTTCATATTCAATGTCTATAGGGTGAATTCACCATGCATCGGATACCCTTGTACTTCAACAAGTTCTAGCGATATCGCTACCGACGGAAAATTATCAAAATGGAGTTCAACATTTAGTTTGTGATTAAAATAACAATTTAGGACACAATTATATGTCATTTATTGAGAAAATATCCCCCAAAATCGAGTTTTTAGAAAAAACTGAAAATTCACCATGGATCGGACATTGTTCACCATGCATCGGACAGACGGTATGGAGACCGGAAAAACATCTACCTTTATCACAGTGCTTTAAAATCCTTGATATGGATATATTTTCGTCTTTTATCTAAGAAATAACCCTAAACTTTAATTTAATCGACGATATTATTGCACAAATGTAGAACGATTCTCGAGACCTCACTCTGCCTTAGAAATGCTTTAAAATGCTTATAATGCCGTAATTCGCGCCTTTTTCTCATGGTTTATCATACTCTGGTTTGTAGAAATAAATTGAGTAAAATTCCAGACGTCATATATCGATAACTTGTATTTTGACTGAAAATATAGAGTTTTTATTTTCTTTTTCCGCAAAAAACAGCTGTCAGCTGGGTTCTGTATGAAAATGGTAGTGCTTACCTTTGCATCGAAAAGTGTCCGATGCATGGTTAATTTGTGTCCGATGTACGGTGAAAATAGCATACTAGTAAAAACCAGCTCTAATAAGAATTAAACAAACATTGAAGTGAAATTTAATTATAATTTATGTAAAATTACCAATCCCTGACAAAATTCACCAAAGTCCGACTCGTTCCGTGGAAGTCGAATTTAAAAGAACGATAACTCTAAAAATTGCAAAATCATAAATTTCGGGTTATTCCCCTTTGATGATGTAAAATATGACGTAACTTCAAGGCCATTTGCGGGGTATTTTTATCACAACATGATAAACACAAACGATATCATTAAAAATTTAAATCTTCGTCTTTATGACAGAAACAAATAAATACACAGAACTCTTAAGTTGAAAGAGAATTTATTGCCTAAAGTTGTCCGAAGCAAGGTATGTGTCCGATGCATGGTGAACTCACCCTATATTATTTACTAAAATTAAGGACCAATGGTATATAAAAATTACGTGAAAACCGAATTAAACAATTTAAAACAAACGACCTAAACAAAAACAATAGCTAAAGTATTACAGCGAATGTTACTCTTAAGAAAAGATTTCAGGAGAGATTATATATCATGTACCCTTTCATGAGCATACTGGTAATTCCTCAATCAGTTTCAAACATTATGGTAAAAAATTTATAAAGGGATCCAACAAACACCATTACGTTTAAACTCGAATGGGATTGATCATAAACATGTAGCTTTGTTAAATTATCAAGTATTTAGAGCATTATGTATTTGTTTTAGCCTTTGCATTAGCTATTGTTGTTAAATAAAATATTTATTGGATGAATTTCATTTGAAAGGCATATGCAGAGCCAGCAATTCCAATCTCAAATGAAATGCTTATAAAAACAAAACAATCTGAGAATTGAAAAATTGAAAGCAAAGAGAATATGGACGCTTGAAAATATCTAAAGGGGAACCAGGGTCATGGCGATCTTCAAAGTTGAATTTGTTTTACGCCGAGTCATCAGTATTCCTGCCATATGTATGATGTAGAAAAGTTGAGACGGAAATTTAAATTATAACAATTAATTGTTTGTGTATCAGCAATTACTTTCAATAAGAAAAATCCTAGCTTTCAATAGGAAAAAATCGAAATGAAACAGATATCCATATCTCATATTAAATGAGACTGAAAATGTTTCTTATTTGAAAAAAAGTTTGAAATATATTCCGTTTCAAAGGAAAACAAAAACTGATTTGCTGATGAAAAAAGCATGATTTGAACCTAAGAATAGAACCTCAAATTGCTGGAAGATCTCGTATAAAAAATGATATATGTTGTTATGAAAAAACAGAAACATCATCAATATTAGCATAGGTTTTGTGCAGAAACAAATTGATTTTGAATGGACCTTTATCATAAAAAATGCTATGACAATATACGTATTTTTTTCTTTAAGGATAGAGACAATTACAAATGCATATATATTAATAATTTCAAAAGATATTGGCTAAGTGCGAGGAATTGTTTGTGTTAAATATTGAAATCTATCAGTTAAGCCTTTTCTCTCCAAGTAGATTTTACATGCTGCGAACTTGACCTTTTACACATGTTCCGATATATTTCTTCATAGAGTTACCAGGAATATTAAAAATCAAATTCTTGTGTTTGTGACGCCACATTGTATTTTCTCCTCTCTACGACACATACATCTACATGTACATTTGATAAAACGAAAATCCGTTTAACTCTTACATGTACATGTAACTAATATTGTATAGATATTTATGATAAGAAAAGAGAAATTCTGTTGTAATCGGAAAAAAATTCATAATAAATAAAAAATGTTATTGAATAATTATCAGGAGAAATATTCCTCTTCCGTATTTGTAAATATTCGATGAGCTTTGCTGTTCATAGCTCAGACGGGCTTATATACAGTCAATAAGGTTTAAGTCGTATTTTAAAAAGTCTTCATCATTCAATGACACATCAAATAATCAGAATTTAAGCATAGGTTTGAATGGTATTAGGTTGTAGACATCAGGTACACTTACAAACAATCATTGACTTTCCATACTTAAATTTGTACATATTATCATAATAATAATATTAAGAAATTGAATGCAAATTGTCTTCAATATTAAGCTCACTATTACTAATCATAATACAAATTACATTAATAAAATCAATTTGTGATTGCTACAGAGTTTTGGTTCATCATAGCTATCACAGTAAAACAATATAACTCCAGGTATGATATTATTATCACAGATAAATACTGATCTCATACCCAGATCTTATCATATGTACAACAAATTGAAATAAAAAAGAAAGTTATAGTTTTCTCAAAAGCCAAATGAAAAAAATCTAAATATTATGAATTGCCCAAATGTTAAACAGAAAATTAATTATGATCAGATAAGACATGACCCTATAAAATCAAGAGATATTTGATCAAGGTACTTAGAGGAGGTATACTTACAAGTGATGAATATATACTTACAGTTTCTGTAAATTTGGCAAACCATTAAAGGTATTGGTCTGAATAGTGGTTATCTTGTTGAAATTTAACCATCTAAAACATATTTTTGATATAAACAAATTAAAGTGCCTTTGTTTCATTTATAATAATTCATACAAGAGTCTTTTCTACAGAAATTTTAATGATTCCTTCAGAATAAAATTGATTATTGGAATTGGAACACAGTAATAAAGAGGGTTTCAAGCCTTTACAGATATCTTTTTTCTGATTATTTCTATTTACAAGTATATAAGCATTTTATTGTACTCTACACTTAAAACCATAATTAACTAAATTTAATTTCTACCGATTCTTAATAAAGTACTAATATTCAAAAAACAGGGTTTCTTTTTTCTACATAACACTTAAAATTTATTGAAAATCCTAAATTGATTAAATTATCCAAAATAACTATTTTATCTGCACTAGACTCCGACTCGGATGAATATAAATTTCATTTGCGAAGCATATGATGTGACTGCTTAGCCCTAAGCTCTATCAAGCTTGGAAAATTCTTACAATAATCCCACAATTGCTTTGTAATTGACTGTTTAAAATCAACAAGAGGCCACATCGCTCACCAGAGTGGAAGACCTTTACTTGCTAGAATTATGCATGTAGATGTTAGAGTATGGACTTCCTATTTTTATTCATTTACTGTTATTGGGCTTGATCTAAGGATAAAATTGATAAGAAAAGCTTTCTTTCCAACCATTGCTTAATGCCTACCTCATTATTAATATAGTAATAAACAGGTCAACCTCAGTATTTCAGGAGAATATAGCACTTGTACTGTCAACTCTGAAGTGTAATATGCTATTATTTAGATAATGGTATTGTGTTTTGCGTGTACTATGCCTAAAAAGTGGTCAGGGTTTGGCACATGGTGCACGAGCCGTAGGTGAGTGCACTATGTGTCAAACACTGTCTACTATTTTGGCATAGTGCACGCAAAACACAAAACTATTGCTATTATTATGCCGACTGTTGTTACTGAATAAAAATGCCAATATTTTCTTCATTCCCAATGTTTCATCACCTGTAGCATTCGTCTACTCTATTATGACGTCACCTTATGCAACATGTACGTCATAGTCTTTTTTATTTAATTTTGAACGTTCCTTGCTTTAGGTATAATCTACATATGAGCCGTTCCAAGCAAAAACCCCCCTTATGTAATCTGACAGAATTTTACGTCACAATAGAAAAAGCGACGTCATTATTTTGCAACAAAAACTGCAAAAAAAATTTATCGCGCACTGACTGAGTTCCAGGTGAATTCTTTGTTTTATGTCTGCAGAATTTTCTCATTTGTGCTCTCTGTATATTTTTTTTCATGACTACATGTGTATTGTCTATTTTATAACATATCTGACTCTGATTGTTGTCAAACTACATGTGCATTACACATTGAACGACCTAAGAGTGTTCTGATTAAATACACAAAATCTGTAAACACTTCGACGTGTATTCTGTTCCATGTACAATATAAGTTTTCAGTTAAATTAAATAAAACATGCAACTGTTGTTTCAAATTCAGATTTACGAATCTTTCTTATTCAACAACGACAAAAAATTACATGCAATGATGATAATGAGTGTAAAAAATATTTTTTAAAAAGGAAGGAAGAGTAGTTTGAAATGTTTTTTTTTTTATCCGAAGTCTTGGCGTAAATTGATTTGACTTAATCATATGTCAAGAAAACTGCACAGGAATTAACACCAATCAAACTGAATGATAGAATTGTTTAACCACACCAATGCCAGATCTAAATCCGGGGTATTTTTTTCATTTATTATAGACCCAGAACCTCCTGGAGGAAAAGTGACACTAGTTCAGCTAACAATGCTACATTAATTGAATAGACGTCTATCCGACATTCTCCTTTTTCTTAGGTGTTGAAAAGATCGATAACTTGTTCATACATGTATTATTGTATTATCCCCCCCCCCCTTCCCATCACCATCACCAAAAAAAAATATATGTAATAAAGCATATATAGAAATAAATACATACATGTATATTTTGGAAGTTCTGAAAAATACCGTATTTGACAAGCACACGTACATTATTTATTTCACATTCAGAAAAAAATGCAACCCCCTGTCTCCGTTTTTTATGTGCATGATTGTAATCACAATATTTGTTCATCTGAGTGTAAATCGAGTGCAAATAAAATACATTTCCAAAATATTTTAATCAATTTGGATTTTCCCGATCTACTTCTTAATCTAACGTAGCAAGAAGTAAATTATCGTAATTTTCACCAGGAAGATCACATGCAGGTGAACATAACCTGATTTTTTTCACACAACGCTAGATCTTGGAAAATGAGAGAGCTAGGAGTATTTATTATATTATAAACACTTTTGTCAAATGATTTGAAAAACGTTCTGACATGTTTTTTTAAACGTATGTACATGAGAAAATAGTCAACCCGTTTTCATTTTAGTAGACCTGGATCAAGACAACTCTTTGGCACTGTCAGGCACGTAGCAACCGGGTTGGGGGGGGGGCTGCCCAGCCCCCCCACTTTTTTCCCCAACATTACCTTAACTATAGAAAATGTCCATGGAAAAGATGGTTGGCCCCCCACTTTTTACAACAGTATATCTATAGCAAGGAAATATGGGAAAAAAATTTGGAAGTGAAAGGAAGTTGGCCTTGAAAAAAGAGAGTTTGGGCAATTTTGGTTTTTTTTTTTTTTTTTTGCTTGTCAACTTTTTTTGTGTATGTAAAAAAATCTTCTCAGATTGGCCCCCCACTTACAAAAACGATGCTACGTGCCTGACTGTAAATGCAAATGTGAAAAAAAGAGAAATAATTGTAAAGTTTATTTTGTTAATATATTGAGATTCCACCAGGAGAGAATAAAATGATGAAAAGCGTATAAAAAATGCAATTTTTAATTTGCTGTTCAAATTATTATCCTTTAACAACGTTTGTAATAATAAATGATACAGAGTCTCGGTTTAAAGTGCTTAATGAAAGATACAAACAAATCTTTAAATGAATGATGTTGACACTATGCATAATTATGTAAGTCTGAAAAGCTCCTAAATTTTTGCATGTCATTTACATTGCGGTGATGTAGGCCTATATCTTATTACTTTCCATGTTTTTGAGCGGTCACCCATCCAAGGGTTAAACGGACTCGCCGTTGCTTAACTTGCCTGAAAGAGAGACTAAGAGAGAGACTCGACCGCATCGCTACTAGAAAAGCTAGCTCACCAGCGAGGAAGTATACGTGTAAGTTCCCTATACTAGTTTACTGTCCGCTACAGATGTCAAACTCAAAAGTCGTAAATATCTTGTATAAAAAAAGGTTTCTAGATAACTTGTCCTCTTTTATCCTTAGCAGTGAAACTTAAGGTGATGACCCTTTCTCAATTTCTACGTCCATCTCGAGAATTTTTAACTCATAAGGAGACGCCGCCATTTGCCGGTGCATGGAGAACTGCAAATATTCCTATAACTTGTACTTAGGGCCTTTCAGCAGTGAGGGATCTTTTTCGTGCCAGCACTTATACTGCGACATGGGACCGCGGTTTATACAGACTTATCCGTAGCTATAGGACCGGTCTCCATGTAAATTTAACCAGAAGAATAAGACGCAAAAGTAACCTACTTCCCCCCACTTTCAGATTTTTTCTATTGCCCAGGGATGTCCTATACCTGGCGTCATTGAAAATACATGCTTGTTTATCTATCTACTTTAAAAATCCGCTGCCATGGATTCAGAAGGAAGGGAGAACAAAATCGATGAGTTTCCGGAGTCCTTCAGCGATGAAGATAAAGTATTACAATAAATTGATCAGAAATATCGAGGTAAATCTAAGGTGATACCCGGTAGTCATTTGGGAAAGCAACGGAGATGCCCATTAAGGTAGCACATGTTGACAAAGGCGTTAACTTACATGATCACGGCATACTTGTAATATGTCAAAGGATGTTTGGCAACAAATTAATGAGGTTCGTTCTAATTAATTACTTGATATTTTCAATTTGTTGACAAGATGTGCTGTAGGCACTCGGTAGAAAGAGAGCTGTTAACAAATGGTAAAAGAACTGGAAAAAATAATGAGACTTTAAGTAAATAATGAAATGTACTTGTGAAAAACAATATTGAATTCCGGGCAAAGAACTAGATTCACCTTATGTAGATAATGTGTCTACAGAATAATTATAACAAGTCATCCAATTTCATCCAATAACATCATTAATATTATAAAAAAGAGGATTTTTGCCTTCATTTTCTCAAAAAAAAGTTCTACAGTATCTGAGATACCGTCGACGAATAGGAACAGTTTGTTATTATTACACTCTTGATTATTATTATTTTTTTTATTTTTTTTGTTTTTTGGAAAAAAAACGTACTGGTGTGATAATACATTAGTTAATTAACAATCAAAGATTTTAAATATGGCTACAGTCCTCAAAAGCAACATAAGCATCAATAAAGCCGCCGCCATTTTGCTAATACTCTTTTTCAAGTTTCTAAATTTATACTCTAACTGCACGGAAGCGCCACCTATGGACGCGGCGAGCACATGGGTAATTAGCATAATCATACATACGTGATGGTCACTGGGTATCTTATTTTTTTCCTTTTGTCAGTAATCTTAAAAGATGACTTCATAAAAATGCTATATTCCTTATACTGAAATACGTAATTATTACGTAGACATACGTGTAAAACCAAAGAAAAACATGACTTATTTTAGAAAAACAATCGTAAACCTAATTAAATCAAATAAATTCTAAAAATTATTGAATTGATCCTTGAAGAATAACATTTTAGTCACCTGAAATTTGTTTTTCTTTTGTTTTAATTTTTCTTGGCCCAATATTTGCTGCTACATTCGAGCGCACGACTACTGGTCCAAAACAAATATGGCCGACGTAAACCTCACTTGTTTTGTGCTCCGATATTAAATTTAATAAAGCGCTTAGAAATATTTTTAATAACAAGAAAATTAGACAGTTACACGGTAAGTTAAAATATCAGATGAAATA